AGGATCCTATGTGAGAGTATAAGGCCGTGTTCGTTGACAGTACAGACAGTGCGGCGTCACGTGTTAAGAATCGAGGGAGTGTCAGACTGCAGATTTAGAATTGGAGAGGATGGTGTTGCGTTCCCATTCCTGGTTGTACCTGAATTATTACGAAAGAAGGCAAGAGTCAGGCAACAGATCATTTATTAAGGAAATCAACACATATTTATAGATTTTCATGCACATATTATAGATTATTGTTGGGAGAAAAACACAGTCTTCTGATTGATTGTTACTCACAGAAAGTTAACCTTGCATCTCTTTGTGACTATCTCTTGAATGTCAGATCATCTATATGTTAACTGTATCCGCCTACGCAAAGTCTGCTGTGGTTGTTTGTTGAATCAGTCTTTTTCATATTTTCTCACAACCAATATTTGGGACATAAACATTGACGTAAATAAGTGTCTACCAACTTGGCTAGCGGCCTGCTCTCACCACAATATGTCGTCTCAACAACCAATTATAATGATTGACATATAGTGGCATCCCCATGATTTTTCTGATCACCGTTTAACTATTTGTGCTAACCTTTCTTTACTCATTCATATCACTAATTATTTTGTTATTCATAGTACCCTAAACTGATACTACCATATTTCACTATCTCTACATGCCATCAGAATTGAACATATACATACAAAAAACACTCATTATTGTCTATTGTAGTGCATACATAAGTGCGATTGCAGTTTAGGAAACCAATAAGTTAGGCTGCGTGAACGGCTTTGAACTCGTTTTCTGTTGGCTTCAAATAATAATAATAATAATAGCTTTATTCCAAACAGTATTTGTGGTACAGTTATGGAATTTTCAGCGTGCACTACAATATATTGCATCTAAATACCTCATACATTTTATAAGATTTTAAAGTCAAAAAGCAACACCTAAAAAAGATAAAGAAAAAGAAAACAGCGTTGCGTCTACATTTTAAACAGTGCACCACAGGATATGAAGTATAAAATTGGTGTATAATAGAAGATAAGAACAACAGTGTAATAGTAACGAGGAAAGGAAAACAAAAACTAATGGGACTATTTGTTAGTGTCACAGTAAGTTGATCGTGTCATACCTAACGGATTTCTCATCACATAACAGCTGTGCCAGATATGTTATTGTGGAGTTTTTGTACTTGGTAGTCCTAGCATATAGCCAGCCTCCTATAGCTGCTTCTAGTTCTACCAGATGAAATGCAAGGAGAGAGCTGAGTATAGAGAGGATTCCCGGGGTCTGACAATATTGTATTCGCTAGTTTCTTACATGACATTATATATATATATATCCACAATAGTGTTAACCAGTCGGGTTAACGATATCCCACTTGCCCTACTAACGGCTTTTAGTGCCTGCTCTTCTCAGCAAAGCAAAGTCTTTCTTAAGTAGTCCAGGAAAGATTAATGGGGAGCAGTAAAGGGGGGATGGGTAGAATACAAGAATTGACAAACTTAGAAAGCAAAGACTGCTTTATGCCAGAGTGGCTAAATTTCCTAATGTAGTACGTTAGGCGAAACATCTTTCTAGTAACTAGCAAGATGTGGGAGTACCAGGAAAGATCGGTGGAAAAACTCAGCCCAAGGTACTTGACATTGGATAGAAATAACACTCCTGTTAGAGCCAAGCATTAACCAAACTATTGGCAGACTCTTTAGCCTGGCTCATCTAGCCTATTGGTCAAACTGATCTTGACACCGCCCTGACTAGCAAAGGGAGAATATAACATTTACGACCTGTCGAAGATGTATTTATTAGTGATGATATGAAGTATTATAGAGAAATAGAAATGCACCACAACGCCGTTGCCAAGTACTTGTCCCTTGATAACCCAATTGTCCACACCGTATTTTGGTCTGCACAGATAAACAAACTGATCGCTGAAGGTTCGATTGATTTGACGAGCCTATTTGGTTATATACGTAAAAGTATGAAACATTCGCAAAGAAATATTTCTCTGCAGAAATCTTTGTTTTATGTCTAAGCGGCGATTACTGATTTAAATGTACTTCTCTGATTTTATGATTTATATCCATGTAAAATACTTAACTATGTTTACTGTTATATGAGGTAATTAAAGATAAATATACAACAAAAGCCACAGCTGCGAAGATAAATCAAAAACTATTGAGAGTTCATTATCAGAAACGACTTGTTCTATACTCCCGTTTATTTACTCAAAAGATACTTTTTAGTCAGTTAGTGTATAAAGCGAATCTTCCAGCAAAAAGTAACATAAAAATTTTACAATCATCAAGGACCCATAATATCTTGGAAATTTAGCTACTGATTTCAGGCAACTCACAGACACCAGCCGCATAGTTATAAGTATTTTTCAGCAACATGTCCTAATTTAATTGTTCCTAACTTTCTTACAGATAAGTTTTCGTCTGTATACGTTAATGCGTCGTGGCAGAGATGAACTTGATATATGTGATTCATGTCCTAGATATTTATATAATGTCTAGTGATTTTTGTATTGAGACTATGTGAATTTGTGATAGATGGAAAAACTATATAAATAAATTAGTAGGGTAGGATGTTCCGGATACATTTCTGATCATAAGTCAGGGTTAATCAATAGATGTACGAAAGGCTCTCTGAAGTCCCTTTAATAGAACATTCTACTACGTGACTTTGGCAAGCAACAAGCAATTCAGTAGTGAATGAAAGCTAAGTTGGATCATTGGAAATCGCTTGTGTGTATTTTCAAGTCCACTTACTTTTATCGATCCAAGTATATTGGATGTAATAAGAAACACTTGCCCAATCTAAATTTAAGATATGTGCTTCTCCAAACTTAACAAGTGACCACGTAGCTGATAAGCTGACAGCCTCATTTATGTGCTCAAGTTATACTTATTAAATAAGGCTACGCACATTAAGCCAGATGCACATTTGCATTTACGGGTAATTGTACATACTTTCTTATCCTCTTTTTTGTGGTGGAATCTGTCATATACGCCCTTAGTCCTGATTGGTTCCGCATTTTGGTACGAATACCATCGAAAATAAATATCAAAGTGAAAGTTCAGGTACTTATCCTAAAGGGGATATATAAATACAGGATAATTGATTCACTCCAAAATTATAAACGGAATTCTTATGTACAGCAATATTAAGAAATATGTATAAGCATATCTTGATGCCGTGTTTTGTTTCGACTACGTCTAGTCTTCTTCTAACCCAACCCCATCAGGCGTTGGCTTGGCATATGTAATATGTGTCTGAGTAATCTTAACTGATGTAGCCTCACAATCTCTTCAATCGATTTGCTATCCTTATTTAGCACTTTATACCTAACCCAGATAATAATACCATTTAAAATGGGATATAGGACGCAAACACCAACGGTATTTACCAGGTGACCTATCGAGATACCAGTCACTATCCTCTACTTGATGTGTAGCCTTAATGTGTGGTTTCATATCTAATTAAGGACTGTTTGAAGTTGAAAAAGAGAGATAATTGCACTTTATTACGCGTTATTGAGCCAGAAGTTCAGTAACAATACAAAACCGTTTTTTCAGGAAATAATATTACGTTTTATTAATGAGTACTCCTGCACGTTTATAGAAGAGAATACTACTTATCAACCAGAACTTTTATAACCGCAATCTAATAGACTTTAATGGATAGTAGTAGTTGTTTTTCAAAGGACTAAGGCCGTGAACAATACAAAATTTCATATTTCTAGACAAGTAATTCCAAAATGTAATTCTGTTAGTGAAAGTAGAGAAATTACAAATGTTAGTTACATGAGATATCTAGAATTTCAAATGGCGTCACTAAACTTCGATTTGGATGGTGAAACCAAGTCGGAAAAAGAGGGTGAATGAAAATCCACTGAATAAAGTATCACAACAACCGATACACACATAGAATCATGAATATATAAACGGGTTGAGACATTTTAAAACACATGTATACTCAACTACAAACTATAATTTATCCACAGGTTATTTTGCAACAAGAAGACAAGGTCCACCGTTCACAATTACCATTCGACAATGTAACTGTGTTTCAGTTTGTGTCCGAAAAAAGTGCGTGCGTGTATGCTTCCTCAGTATGTTTACATAAGTAAGCAGTAAGCAAAGTCATTTGTAGGAAAGAAAAGAAAGTAATTTGTTATTGACAAAATCAAAATTAAGTTAAATATCGTATTTAAATAAAATGTTGTACAGAGTACTCTTAGTGTTTCTTTTTTTTTTGCTTCGCCAAGTTGATACTACTAACTTTGTATGTTGTAAGCTGTTTTTGTTACAAACCGTAGAACCATCGAGTTTAGAAACCGAAATAACGTCTGTGAAAATTTGAATTTCTTATTTCGGGAGACAGATACAAAGAATATAAAAGAGTAGTGGATGAAAACGAGAGTTAACAAAATAATACAAGCAACATATTAGTCAAAAATTTGTTTCTCCCTTCTGTTTACCTATTATAGTTATTTAACAAACCCTTAAGTAATTGTAGGAGGGGGATGATAGTGAAAATGGAGACAACTTTTTTTCACAACAAAATAGATGAAATCAACTGTTATGTACACAGACTAGATGTAATTAGGGAGAAATGATCCAAGCAAAGCGATGTAGGGACGAAAAGTAACGCGAACAGGAGAGAAGTGATCATATTTTTAAGGCGCTTGAAAACAAACTTATACACAAAGTAGGGGAAGTTGTACAGGAAAAATAAAATAAAATGCAGTTATATTATATGTTAAGACCACACGTCCTTTGAGGAGGTGCGAACACACAGTGACTCATTAACTTAATATAATAAAGTGTACAATTCACAGTTTAGATGGGAAAAATATAGAAATGAGAAGATATGTGCTCTATGCTACAGTAAAAGACTGATAACAACAGAAGTAAGAAATCATAATACTGAAAATACTAACGGCAACAATAAAAGGATGAAGAAAAAAACACAGCAAAGTTAGAAAAACAATAAGATGTAGCATATGTATATGATTATGAAATAGGTGGAGAAACTTGGGAAATGGTGACATTAATTCCTAAGTTTCCGTTTTCAGCAAATGAATGAGCTGTATTGGAATCAAAAACTAAACAATCAGATACGGCGATTGCAGACTGGACACCATCATGAATACTACGTGGACAGGCTTCCCAGGTTAGTCGTCGACGATGTCCATTCAGTTCAAGCCTGTATACAAAGAAAGAAAAAGAGAGATTACTGAGTGCACTTTGTGAAACAGTTAACCTTAATCAATAAATTCTGATGTACTGCGTTTTTAACTAATCGGTCAATACTAACAAGATGGAATGAATTTAAAAATGGTTATTATCTGTGCAAATGTGTTTATGTAGTTAACACATTGACCAGATAGACGCAATAAGATGTGTCGTACTTATAACCACATGGATTTAGTTTACCGGTTTTCGTACTCAACTTTGTAGTCATTGATTTTCGAATATAGGGCTTATAGATTCTAACCATTTTGCGCAGTTGATTGACGGTTTAAATCCTGCTTCAGTCTGGGGGATCGGGTAGAGTCATCAGTCTTCACAGAGTTTTAACTATTATTTAGGTAGGTAGCTCTGTTTCGATCGCTAATTTCTTACGATCAGATGTCCACAGTATACATAAATGTATGACCAGTTTGTGCATCAAAACAGGACACTCTATTATTGTACTGATGCCTTAATCTAATACAAAACTGATGGAACACTATCTAGATGGAATACTGGCTTTAACATTACAAAATGTTAAATTCATGACCCATCAAATTATAATTTGGAAAATGTGTACTTACCTGTAGACAAACTGTTCTGCTTGTTTACGTGTTCCGATGAGCTGGACGAGAGCAAAAAATATTTGATCCGGTACACGTTCCTGCTTTTCAAGCACCAACATAAAACTATGTCCAAAGCAAGACTGCATCATGACCCAGTCCACAGCACCCGGTAGACTAATGTCAGTAGCGAGGAATACAATATCTTCACCTAGAATACAATGAAAACTAACAGTGCTTAGAAGACAATTCAGTTCAATGTATGGCATAGAACGAATGACTAGAAAAGTATAGACCACACAATGAAGTCAGTGTTAGTCAACAAGGACTACTATTTAATCGATCACAAATGCCTACTGAAAAGTAAGAAGAAAAAAGTACTTAGTATGGGTCATTACTCTGAATGAAGGCTACACTGACTCATGTTTCGACGACAGACCGAAATTCTAGACAAACTTATCTTCCGATTTCCTTGAAAATAATCAGGGAAGAAACTGATCTTACGACTACTAGCTTCTTAGGGATATTAGCCTGAGTTGCATTACGGTTGGGAAAAACACAGGGAAGACTGTTCATTAATCTTACCTTGTAAAGTTGTTATACTCTTGTGATGGTGCATAAGATGAGGCATAACCTGTTCCAATTCACCAAGCCATTTGCATGAGGCACCAGGACACGGACAATCATAAGGTCTAAAAGAAGAGTTACACATATATACATTGATCGCACATAGAGAAGCACTGTGCACAAACCTTAAAAAATTATGAAATAAGCAATAAACCCACGTCGATGGTTAGACACCTACAGGTTTGTTACCAAGCCTAGAATCGTTGAAATATTTAAAACTGTAAATTTGTGATTCATTCCTCTACAACTTCCAAGTTTGAAATCTCAGATAATTTATCGAGGTTTGGATAGGCAATTTACATCAAATAATCAGTGCAATTTGTGGCTTCGTGCATTGATGATAACAGACGCTACCAACTCGGTTATGTAAACTAGAATGGACCAGTGACTAGAAATAAGTTATTGAGCCATTAATCTAAGAGACCTCACACAAGCACTTTATGAATGACGAGTCCATTTAGAACAACGCTAACAACTCTAGGTAATCATAAAATAGCAAAACTTGGTAACCATGTGCAGACTGCTACGAAAACTGCTTTTCTGTTTGAGTCACGGAGGAATGCTGAATTGAACAATTAAAGTATAAGTTTGTCCAAAAGTACATCAATTCAAGTTGTTACACTTTGGAAAAAACAGGTCGACTTAAAAACAGAATGTATTTGAACTATGCTGGGGAAAAATGTGTGGGAGAAAGAATGAAATGAAGATTTGAGAGGACTTTTGAAATCTGGAAGATCACAATCGGTGAATACATCTGTGCCATTGCTAATGACTTTCGGTTCCACCTACACCATCAGTTTTTTACCACTAGTAATCTTAAGCCTGTAGTAGTCGTCTCTCGAAGTTTTGTCGGGTACTGACTACCACCCATTACTAATATTTTCCCAGCCCTGATTTCTTTTAGGTACTGTCTCGTGAAACCAAATTACTTTACAAATTACCTGCTTTGCCTTCGAAAAATGATCTGGTTAAGCCTGGATAAATGCAGTTCCATGTATTCATTGGTCCAGTTTGACGTGGTGACACTCAAAAACTCTTACTAAGTTTCGGTTGCATATTACTTGCAGAAAGTGAATAATTGTGTGGGATTTTGCAACAGACAATTTTGTGGAGGTAGGAAATCATATTTATTAAGTTTAGACAAGTGAAACATCATTCAGGTGTCTAGATGAAGCAGTCGTATTCATTATTTAATGCAACGCTTTTATTTTTTCGACTGACAATCTTATGACAGTCAATAAAGCATTTCTGATACGTCCTTTTTAGACAGATTACGTGAAATTATACCTTATGCAGGAGTTATACGGTGACGGAAGACTATTAGCAGTAAATGCATTCCAGTATATGGAAATAATAGCTTAATTAAAACTCACCTATATTCACAAACCGCTTCATGCTCCGATTTCGATGTATAGTGGAAAGTTTCTGGGCAACCACTAGTAGAGTACTTACAAGGAAATAACACACTGGAGGCAAGTTTTTCCATAGCCAAATTTCGGATATTATCTTGGAAAAAGAAAAGAGATGAAAAGTGAGTATTATCGTCAATAACTTACGTGAAATAATGTAGAAATGTTTGCCGCCCGCTAAACAAACAGATCAATGTGCAACATAGCACAAGCAACCATCAGAACACAGTATATTTGATGAATCACACGAACAGGCGACAAATGTATAAGGATACTACAATAGAAAAACCTCTCCTAGTTGACTAACTTGCTAGTTTTCTAGCAAGTCCAAAGCCCGGGTAAAGAGAGAGGATTGGGCGTAGGGCTAACACCCCCACACCACTTAACCTATCAAACCGCTAGAGAAACTCCAACACACAAAAAATATATTAAACATACAAAAAATTCAAAGAAAACAGCGGGTTGGTGAAAGCCTTCGGGAAGCCAGTCAGCCAACAGACTTGACTTCTCTCGATGAAAGCAAGAATAAGAATGGGAACGTGGAATGTCCGCACAATGTACTAGACTGGGAAGGCTGCCCAGGTAGCCAACGAAATGCGAAGATATGGCATAGAAGTGCTGGGTATCTGCGAGAGCAGATAGAATGGATGTGGATTAGCAAATTGTCAACTGGAGAGTCAGTAATCTACTCCGGTCACTAAGATGACGTACACGAGCACACTGAAGGAGTGAGTAGGTATCATGATGTCGCCAGTGCCAGCCAAAGCTCTAATGCAGTGGGGACCAATTTCATCCCTCAGGATTACGACAATAAGATTCAGCCCAAAAGGCAGGAAGGAGGCTCACAATTATCCAATGCTCCGCACAGTGCTACAAACAACGCGGAACAGAAGAAGGAAGATTTTTATAGACAACTAAAAACTGTAATGGACAACATCCTGAATGGCGACATCTAGATCCTTATGGGCAATATGAATGCAAGCCAAATTGGGAGCAGACAGTGTAGGAAGAGAACTTATCATGGGTCGGGAGGCTCTCCTTTATAGAAATGAATGGGAAGGGAGAACTATTCTTACATTTCTGCACTTTCAATGATTGGGTGACTGGAGGCAACGTGTAAAAGCACAAGGATATACACAAAGTAACCTGTATTTCGCCTGTCGGACACATCACGAAACAGACAGATTTCATCTCAATGCTGCTCGAGGAAGTGGAAACGCAACCTGATGGACACAAAGTCGAGAAGGGCAGCAGACCATCATCTAGTTTAAGAAATCTTCAAGGTTAACCTGAAATCCCTCGAAACAGCTGGAGACAAGCAAAAATTCACGTTCAATATTCAGAAACTGAAGGACAAAACTACAAGGGATCCCCTCACTACAGATTACATCAGAACAAAGTCGGAGATACTAAGTGGCATAACTGAAGAAACCTGAGTGGAACAACATTAGAACCAATTCTCTGAAGGTGGTGTTCAAGTAAACGTGTGCAGATGTTCTAGGGAGAAAGAAGAGACACGACAAAGAATGGCTCTCAACGGATACCTGGAAGCCGATCGAGGAGAGGATATGAGGATGGTGAAAGAGAAGATAAATCAATGCAAAGATGCACAACAGAAGGAGAGGCTGAGTCCAATGTACACCGCACTGAATAAAGAAGTGAAAAAGGGTGCTAAGAAATACAAAAAGTAATTCTACAACACACTGGCCAGCAACTGAAGTAAAACAGACATGGCGCAGGCAAAAGAGATCTCAGGACATTAAATCAAATAACCAGGTCTCTATCCGGGAAGATATCAAGCGAGATGATAAAACCAATAAAAGATGTTCATGCGAACCCGATTACTAAGGAGGAGGAATAAATAAAACAATGGGCTGATCAAAGGACTCTTGTATCGACCGTCACCTGCAACTTGTCCAGAAATAACACCATTGACAGCATACACAGAACTGCCAGTGGACACCAATCCTCTAACGAAAGAAGAAATCTTCAATGTGATGAAGCTACTGAAGTCCAGCCACGAAGGCAGCAGGACTAGACGAAACTCCCCCAGAAGCACTGAAAATGGATCCAGAGACTGCAGAAGATGTGCTCATGCCATTATTGAAAAAGGTTTCGAAGAAAAGAAAGGTAACTACAGATTGGAAGAAAGATTACCTTGTCAAACTGCCAAACAAGGGCGACCTAGGCTTCTGCAAGAACTGGCGTAGAATAATGCTGTTGTCTAGGCCAATTAAAATACTAAGTCGCATTAACCTGGAGAGAATAACAGATGCAATGGATACAGAACTCCGCCTACCGGAAAAAAGCTGGATTCAGGAAAGGAAAATCACGTGCTAATCAAACTGCAACTTTACGCATCGTCATAGAACAAAGCATGGAATGGCAGTCAAACTTCTACCTCAACTTCATCGACATCAGAAGGCCTTCCACAGACAGCGCTGACCAAGAAGTAATTTGGAAACTGCTTCAACGCTACGGTGTGCAGTCTTTATCAACCTCGTTCAACAGCTATATGAGAGTGGCACGTGTCAGGTGATCCAAAACGGAAAACTCAGCAAGGCGTTCGAAGTGAACACACGAGTAAGACAGGGCTGGCTGTCTATTAACACCTACGATATTCTTCATGCTGGTGGACTGGATTATGCGTCAGACTGTGGATACAGAGATGAAAAGACTCTAGATGATGTGGAGTTCACGCGTGGATTATATAAGCCTGATGTCACACAGACTCGAAAACTTACAGGAGAAAAACAACAAAGTAGCTGGAGAGGCAGTGAAGACAGGACTGCAGGTGAACCGAAAGCTGCAACTTTGATGTGATGTTCGGACTTGAACACTGCAATGTCCCAACAAGCTATACTGGCTGAGACTTATGTCTCTTGAGGTCCTACCATGCCAGAAAGGTTGTTTGGATAGCGGTTAAACAAAAAGCAGCTACCCAATCCAATACTATGATTCAAACAAATTCACAAAATTTCATGCCGGATCGGCCGTGGCCCGGATTAACAACGACCGCGCTTCCTGCTGCCGTGTCACAGGGCGGGAGAGATAAGTATGCTACTGAGACACACAAAACAAAAAGAACAAACAAAAACAGGCCGCGTGTGACCGGCCTCAAGCAGTTGTCCCCTGGGCTCTGCGGTCACGCAACCAACTTCCACGGTGTGGGCAGCCGGGAAGTAACAATCGCCCTCACAATCCGAAACGCACACAAAACCTCTCTAATCCTCACTTATCTTTGTCTTCATCTTCATCTCTACCATCTTGCCTTCCTTCCATTGATGCAACTCCTCTACTTGATGGCTCCTCACTCCCTCTTCACTCTGTGTCCACTAAAAACGACGAAAGCCAAAAAACCACCACGGATAGTCTCCTAAAGCCACGCCACCAATTTCATATAGGAGCATTTAATGTTAGGACACTTTGCCAAATAGGACAACAAGCATCACTAGCTAAGACCCTGGCATCCGAGCCATTGATGTATGTTGTGTTTCAGAAACACGCATACAAGACCCAAGTGTGGTTATTCACCTAACCCCACCTGGCCAACAGGATGAATCTTCAAAATTCACCTTGAGGGTGTCAGGAGATGCCACAGCTAGTTCACGAGGATTAGCTGGCGTAGGGATAGCTCTGAGTACTAGGGCAGAAAAGACATTGCTTGACTGGATCCCGGTAGATAGCCGAATGTGTGCTGTCCGTCTGAACGGATCAGTAAGAAGGAGAAAGGACTGCACTACTCGCCGATGCCTTTTCGTAATCTCCGCCTACGCCCCCACTGACTGCAGTTCGGATGAAACGAAGGATGAGTTCTACCAAAAGCTGTCTAGTTTGGTGAGAAAGGCTAAACGCTCAGATATAGTCGTTCTAGCTGGTGACTTTAACGCTCAAGTAGGGAAATTGTGTCAATCTGAGAAGGATGTCGGTGGCACCTATGGAGTTCCGTGCCAGCGAACCGACAACGGTGACCGTCTCCTACAGTTCTGTTCAGATAATCATTTGTTTCTTGTAAGCACTAACTTTAAACACAAGGAGAGACACTGTTTAACCTGGCGACCCCCATCATCAAACCAACGCTGGACACAAATAGACCACATAGCAATAAGCTATCGTTGGCGTGGGTCGGTAGGAGATTGTCGCTCCTTCTGGAACACGTGTGTAGATACCGATCACGCACTGGTCCGGGCTCGTGTGTGCTTACGACTGAACGGACGTAGGAAACAGCTGGCGGTAAAACCATCACGTCCCCAGCTCGATCAGGAAACTAAATCCCTATTTGAGGAAGAACTAGCTAAACGCATATCTGAATCCGACAGCTGTGCTCACCCTGGAGAAGCCTGGAAGAATATTCAGTCAGCTATAGATACAGCTGTAAAAGCTGTGAATAAGGCAAATCCAAAGGTGAGTAAAAACCACTGGATTTCGACTGCCTCATCCGAACTGATAGATGCTAGAAGACTTATTCCGGCGAGCTCCGAATTCAATGAGGAGCGAAAGCTGCACAAAAGGAAACTTACTAAAAGTCTCCGCAAGGACCGTGAACAGTGGTGGGTGACAAAGGCGAAAGAGATGGAAAAAGCATCGGCGATAGGCAACACTAGGCAACTCTTTAGACTCATCACAGAATCGGGTGGGAAAAGGCAATTCATAAGTGAGACTATTTCTGAGAAAAATGGCTCCTTAATTAGCTCTCAGGATAGACGCCTTGAACGCTGGAAAGAACACTTTGAGGAACAATTTAACTTGCCTACAGCCACACTGAACCTCCCCGCCATCCACCACGTACCCGAATGGGATATAGACACTGGTCCGCCGTCTGTAGGTGAGGTTACAAAAGCTATCAGTAATTTGAAACGAGGCAAAGCGGCAGGACCCGACGGAATTATTCCGGAGGTGTTTAAATATGGGGGTGACATACTAGTTTGTAGATTAACTGAGGTACTAGGCAAAGTCTGGGAATCAGAGACAGTCCATCAGACTGGGGTAAGTCACTTATTATACCGATATTCAAGAAGGGAAACAAGTCCTCGTGTGATAATCATAGGGGGATCAGCCTAACGAACATAGTCTCTAAAATCCTAGGCTCAGTAATCA